ATGCATTCGTCAAGCGTCCAGCCTTGGCTGGAGGCATGGGACCTCCATTGTTGGCTCGTGTTCGTTTGTTGGCAGGGACTGCAGCTGGCCTTTTCTTCTCTGGTTTCACCTTCTCTAGCTGCTCAAGGCGCTTCTTGAGGTTTTCTGGAGGAAATTCTGCCTCAAGTTTGTAATCTTCAATACACTTGATGACAGCTCGGAGTGCTGACTGCTCTTTGCGTCCAGCTAGGTTCTGCACAGAAAGTAATAAAGAAAATATTAGTGATCAAATGAAAACGCAGGTTTCTACAGGTTTGATTATTCTGCATATGAGGAAAGGAGACTGAAGTTCATGCACTTCTAAGGACATTTTTCTGAAGAAATCAGAAATGAGACACAAGGATGTGAATGACTGCAGAATGCCTCATCATCAAGACATCCATAACAAGATGTATTATACCTGATTATTCCTACTGCTTCACCAGTTAACTGACACATAAAGTGGAAATCAAATTCCACTCCAATAGCAGGAGTTTGTTGTCCCAAAACTTTTCAGTATATATACTTGTTCCAACAATAAGATAAAAACCAGGGATAAACACTATAAGAGCAAGCATGAATATGAAATGATATAGGAAGAATTGCATGGAAGAAATTTCTTCATGTTTGAAACGGAGAGTGGAAATTTAGACATTGACTTTTCACTCATATGTAATAATTAATATAGGGTAAGATGTTGATATTATGTATTTTTTGTAGATGGCTACCATCCTCTCCATTAGAGGAGAGAGCTTTTGTGGGGGTGGGGAAATTCCCTTTCTACCTTCCTTAAAACACAAACAAGGGAAAAGTTCCTTTCACATTCCCTTTTCCTTCCCCTCTCTCCCTCCATCTCTCCCTCCATCTCTCCCCTCCCAATCATTTGAGAAGGGAAAAAAAACAGGGATTTGTGGGAATGAGAAGGTGGGAAGGGGATTCAACCCCCTCTCTCCCCCACCCACAGACACATAACTGGAATTTGAAATGCTGTAAAGAAAGAACCAGACACCACTTTGAGAAGCATATTCACGACTGAAAGTCACAACATGCAGGATCAAGCAACACCAATAGGGTGCAATGATTAAAATCATACCGCAGCTCGACCAGCATTATTGGGATCTTCCATAATAGAAGCTGCAGCTTTCTTAGCATCTTTCAGAAAAGCTTTCAGCAGAGGAACAGGAGGAAACTTGTGCACAAGTCCAACTTCATAAGTGAAATGTACCGCATCAAGCTGTTGTCCCCTGCTGATTAATTCTTCAATCATATCTGCACATATCAACAGCTTCTATACATTACAATCTAGTGAAGGGGCCCTCTTACTGTACACATAATGAACCATATCCAAACATTCACAAGAAAGTCAGACAGAAAACTTAATATATTTGCAAAACTATTACACGGTCAATGAGATATCTTCATAATGTCAAAATCTTTGAGAAAAAAAAAAACATTAAAAGTTTGGGGGAGACTTGAGCTCATAAGTGATTACAAAGCATGTGGACATAAAACATTGATTAGGTTTTACAGTTACTATCCACAAGCTATGATTCAAAGACTGGTAAGAGGTTTGCACTTAAAATCGTTAGGGATAGAGGTTAGATCCATCATACAGGCATATGCGAAGTAAGAAATAAACAAGTAAACTGGGAATAGCTGAAGAATAATGGTGATAATATGCAACACTGATGAAACGATTATACAAATTTATCATTGGAAAGAGCAGAAATTTCCACATAGAAATAACCTGACCTGATCAAACCCATAAGCCTTGCTCAAAATTTACTAACCAGTAACCACATCGAAGCATGCCAATTTATCCATTACATATAGAGCTCAAATAGGTACAAATGGGAACACACATTTTCCATAAGCTCTAAACAAAACCAAGCAATGGCCAACGAATTACACGGAAAACTAGACATGGCTAATAGCACAAGAAATAAAAAAGAACAAGTTAGAATTAGCAACGCACCCGGCATTTTCTTGGCGAGGCCAAGCGAAACGGCCAGCTTAGGCATCTGCTTGCGCCAGGCCGACCCAACCACAAGTTTTCTGTACAAATCAACATCCTCCTCCTTCACAATCCCAAAAGTCACCAAATGCTGCAGGAACGTGTGAACATCAGGAGTCTTCACGTTCTCAATGCCACCTCGCTCTTCCAAACTGGCCTTCCAAGTCTCGGCGATCTCCTTGGCACGTTCCTTCACGGTCGGCGTCACCAGAAGCCTTGATTTTCCGATCTTCGGGTCGACCACCACCGGAATCAGAGACTCCAGAACCAGAACGCAAGCCCAGCCCAAATCGTTACCCCTCTCGCTCTTGTCAACTCTCTTGTCCACCGGAAACACCTCCGATATCGCCTCGAGCACGAACTTCGCCGGATCAACACAATCAGCCAAAGCCAGAGGCATTTGTGACCTCAGAGCCTCCAATTCCTTCTTCCTCGCCGTCACGAACCTCCAGAACCGTCCAGTATCCATCTTCAAGCACAAGGACTTGAGATTCATCAGCAATCCCTCGTTGTCGTCCACCTCTCCATCGTCGTCGTCGGAGCGACCTCTCTTCAAGACCTTGAGCGCGGCCTCCTTGCTCTTCTCGACCTTTCCGACCGCGATCTCTACGCTCTCCATGATTGTGACCTCCCGCTGTTCGAGCTCGTCGAGTGACTCCTTGGTCTCCTGCTCTAGGTTTTGAATTTTGCGCTTGATGGCCTCAGATTTCTTCAGTAAATTCTGCTCCAAGGACGTGAAGTGGTCCGAGAGCTCCTTCCACAGTAGAGTACAGCTGGTCATGAGAGAGGTCTGCCTCTGGAACTCGTCGAAGCTCGGCGGTGTCAACTCTGTCAACTCGCCGGGATCGGGGATCGACCCCATCTGGTTGTCGTAGTACGGTCTAGCTCAGTAGTAGCCAAGCGAACAAGATAGGGAAGAGAGAAGTAGAAACCCTAGAATTTGGAGGTAGAGAGAGAGAGAGAGAGAGATAAAGCAAGCTGAGCTGAGCTTAAGCTAAAGGTAGCCGGGGACAGGAGAAAGAAGAAGACATTGCGATGACGTGGGTGGATGAGGGGAAGACACGTGTAGAGGCGTCTCAAAAGCAGCTACTAGAATGCGCCGTGGCGGGAGAAGGCGCTAAAGTGAGCGGGAGGGTTGGGGTGCGTAGGATAAGAATACTAATTTGGTAAAGTGAAATGATGACGTAAGATATAAGGGGGTGTTTGGATGAGGGGGAAGCACTTTCCCGGAAACCGAAGTTAGATCAGAGAGAGAAAAAGTAGAGAGAGAGAGAGTGGGGGATGAAAAGCTGGAGAAAGTAAAGAGTTGGGGAGGTGGTGGGGTGGGGCAGGCCCACTCAAACCACCACATGGATAGAGTCAGATAAAGTAAAGAAGAGATAGATTGACGGGTAGGTGTGGGTGAGGACAAACATTTGTGGGAACAAAACTTACGTGGTACGGAAATAACATTATTTTGTTAGTTTTAGTAAATTATGGAATGCAACACGTAATAATTTTTTCATTTTTATATCTGAAGTCTAAATTTGATTTGTTCACTTCTTAATAACGGGAGTTTGTGGCTTGAGTAGTTAAGAGTATTAACTCTTATATTTGAAGTCTAAGTTCGATTTGTCCATTAATACGCTTGGATTAACCCCTTCGTATTTAGATTAATTCTTTGTAGTTACTGTATTTCCATTATTGTATTAATCTTATATAATTATTTGTATTGGTATTAAATTCTTGTAAGTGAGGACTGAATTATAATGCAATCCATCACTTTTCTTTTCCTTTAGTTTAAAAAAATATTGTTCTTGTCATAGAAAAGAGCATCATGTAGCCCGTGAGAGACTGAACAGAAGAGACGAGAATGACGCATGCGCATGATGATCAGTCGTGAATCAGACATTCACTATCTACGGTCTACAATAACGGCAACACACCACGGTCTTTGAGTCAGACTCGGGTCGGGCTCCATGAGTAACAACAAAAGGAATCTTTGTTAGTTATTTCTCTAATAAACTATATGGGAACAAAATTCTTTATACTAGATCCACACCTACTCTTGCAAATTAATTTGTACATACTCAAAATACTCGTATGAATTGTGTGGATAAAATAATACTCAAACACGCATCATTCATATAGAATAATAATAATAAATTTGAGCAATAGTAATTATGTCTTCAAACAGCCAAAAATTTGTTACGTGTGTCCATCCTCCTGTTTAGGAACTGATGCAGTCCTTGCAATTTGAAAAAAATACTTTCAGTTCAGGCTACTTATATGAAGAGAAATCATATAATATATTATTAAATCTAACGGGAATCGTATAGTTTGATCTGATTTACATCTCAACCCTTTGCCTCCTTTTGTATGAGATGGACTGATATGGGATAACAGATTCATATCAAGTTAGCCATGGCCTCTCCGCCTGGCAAATTTTTTATTTTGTTATCATTTAAATCTTCTTCAATTTTAAACATTGAACAAGAGAACAAGATGCAGAAAAAACTGAGTAAGGGCTTATGGCTCACTCAAAAACAACTTAAAGACCCAATTTTATAAACAAAAAAAATTGAGATCTCTCTCTCTCTCTCTCTCTTTTCTTTTGTTAATTTCAATTTGGGAATCTAGGGTTTGTGATTTTCTGATTTTAATTTCCCAAATTTGAGTTCATTTTTTTGAATAGGATACCAGACGAGCCTTTGAATTTTTTTTGAAATTCTTTATGTTCTTTTTCCGATAGGCTTGTACTGATATGTCCAAGGCCCAATGGACTGTCAAGCCCACATGAGAGGTGGGGATTTAGACATGGAAAGACAGGTCCCAGGGATTGGGATCGTAGAAATTGACCCCAAGTCACATGACAGGCAAGACCCCTATGACTCTACCAGACAATCAAAGTCTACTACAACTAACATTTTCCTTCCCATTAACATCAAACATTAAAACATGTAGAAAATAAATCTGGTCCTGGTGAATTGAACTTCCAACAGGCTCAATCAAGTTAATTATTAAACAATTATTTGCTGCAATTGTCAGACAAGTTCAAAAAAAATACAAGCGCTCTAAATCTTTTTTCTTCCTAATTTGAATTCTCTTCTTGTGTCTGAATACAGCAAAGCTGTAGCAGGAAAAAGCTGTGTACCAACCAAGACAGGCCATTACACTTCCAAGAATAATAGGCAGGCATCCGAAGGGACTCTGCCGCCGCACGGCACTAGAGAATGCTGTCCATGAATTACAAAAAGCTTCCATCACCTTCACCATGATAAGGTATTTAAGTAATAAATGACACGATATATGGAAATAAACTACAATACCTTAAATGCCACCAGGAATCTACTTGGTTGATTTGTATTCCCTTAGGCTTTCAATCGCAACTTTCTTTCTTGTGTCAAAATCAACCTTGTCAAGGTCATAAGCAGTTCCGAGATAGCCATACAGAATCCTCTTTTTCTCCCTCGTCTTTTCGTCCAACTTCACAAGGTATGGATTGTTCTCGTCATCCTTACTGCCCAGTGTTGGGGGCTGTACACGAGCCCAAGCCCTACGTCCATGATTGTCCTTAACGAAGAATTCTGCCATGCGCATGGCCTCCTTAAGGCCTGCTTCGTCACCCGAAAATTTAACCAGAGTCATACCTAAATGACCATCTCTACCATACAAGGATTTTGACTTGCCACTCCCAAATCCAAGATCTGCTTATCAGAAATGCCACAAGAAAACAGGTAAGTTGTCAAAAGGACTTTTTTTGGGGGGGGGGGGGGGCAAATTCTCTCAGTGCACAATGAAGCCATCAAGGCTCAGAATGGAACCTCTCAATTTGTTCCACATGCCATGACAATGACTGCTAGCAGCCATAAAAGGCAGCTTCAGATTCTCTATCGAAAATCCAAAGCTACTTAAAACAACCCCCTATTGATAGGAACCTTTAAGAAAACGGTTTTGTTGATGACCACCAGACCAGCGTCAAAAGGCTCTCACATGGTGCAAGGAAAACATACCATACGTACTCATGACTAAATGAACAGAAAATACATACAAAAGCACGGAGCCAATATACCCGACTAATAACAAGATGATAGACAATTGTAATGTCCATAAGCATAAAAGAAAAAGAATTTTAAAAAAAGGTATAAGATCCAGTAACCGGAGGATAAACTACCAAAAACAAAGAAAAACAAAGTAGCAGTAGTCTTATATGTTATTTGCAACACAAGTAAACTCTAAATACAACCAGGCTAGGGTCACTTGCCTATACAAATGGCATCATTTTGCAGTTGAATAAAAAAGCCAAGCACAAAACCGCAATCATATATTAAGAAAAAGTTAGAGAGTTAGAAAGAAACTACTTAAAATAGCAACCAAACCTATTAAACAAGGGAAAACCATTTAACAAAAGTTTAAATCAAATGTAGAGTAAACCTTTGAAGTTTATCTAGGTTCTATCTATGGGAGATCAGAGAACATTGCTCATTTTGCCAGACAGTGCCCTTCTTGGTTTGTCTCAGTTCAGTAGGAGGTTTTGGCCCAATTTGCCACTTTTGGCTGAATGGCTTGGAATTGAAGTGCATGGACGAAGTGAAGTTTATCATGTAGGATCAAGCAATGCACCAAAATAGGGGAAAAGGATGTGATAGTGCACATGTCAGGTAATGCATATAGTGACATACCAGGTAAAACGAAAAAAACATGCTCAGGATTTTTAGACAACAAAAACCAGTGTGCATACAGGTTTAGGTAAGGCAGAAAAAGTTCTGACAATTGACACCAGCATTCTTCTCCCTCAAGATAACTCAACATGAGACAACACCCAGCCTATTCGAATAGGGAATTAACAAATCCTTTCATGCACCGCATGACAAACCAAAATTTTACAAACAGAAAACTTAAGACAACTTGAAAGAGACTGTAATTTTTTGCGCTTGTTAATCTTTGACATCGGAAGTCCAAGATCCTGGGAATACAAACAGAAAACTTAAGACAACTTGAAAGTGACTCTAATTTTTTGCGCTTGTTAATCTTTGACATCGGAAGTCCAAGATCCTGGTAAGCCAAACCCAGGTTCCCTTATTCGTAGCTAGTAGTAAGAGCAGTTGTACAGGTATGGGGAAAAGCCAAGCCTATGCGCAAGGATTAATTTAATCATCACACAAAATTCAAAATGAATAAATCCATTAAATAGGAGGGTTTGTAAGGAAATGCAGTCTTAAATGTCAACACAACAGGTTAGCTTAATTGGCTTAAAGTTAACAAATTGTGGTCTGGACTGGACCACAGAGTAATTGTGTCTTCAAAGTCACTAGACCATGAAAGTTAGGAATTGTTCTGTCCAAAGTCGAAATCAAACAAATGGTTAACAAGGTCAAACTAATCAAAAAAAGGGTGGGGGAGTAGATTAAAAAACGATGACATCAGACTCAAACCCTGGAGAACGAGAATAAAATAGATTGCAATTAAGCAGGTATGTACACAATGACCATTACCCCAAACAGGAGGACAAACCATAGGCTGAACCATTAAAAATGAAGAATGAGATTCAACCAACCCAAATTCCTTGCCGGTGCTTTAGAAGGTAAAGCAATAAAAGGAGTACATAAATTAGAAACCCTGCATAGAATCAGTTTGGCATACGCTCATCTCAACCATACTTTAATTGCCGCAGAAAAGTAGAACACAAGCATGGCATGATGGCACATAGGAGAAGAAGATGACATATGCAATCTTCATGTGGCCTAATCCTTGCAAACTAAGGGAAGAAATGCCTTCTATATTTGCCACTCAGCTTGAAGGCCATGTCAAGAAGTTGCATAACAAAGATTTCTAACCATGCCCCCAAGTTCCAGAAGTATATAAAACAAAACCAATATATTATCATGGAGGCACTAATACTAATTCACATACACCGGCAAGACCCTTTCTTTCCGCACTCAAATCAATCAAACCATAAAAGGTGACAGTTGCGGACTTTATAACAATGAAAACTGGAGGAGTTTGAGAGATATTCTATGGCAAACTAATTAACTATATTCTCCAGGAGGAAGATAACAAAGCAGAGATATCCTCTGGAATAGACAGGCAGTATGCTGTATTTAAGAAAGGGTTGCCTCCATCCAATAAAGATATTTAATCTTTTCAAAAGTGGTCTCCAGAATTGCAGATTGAAATAAAGGGCTCAGGGCTAAAATAGGATGCATGCAGAGTATTTACTTGACCTGGGCCCAACCTATCCACATGTACATTCTGATAGAAACAGCATAAAGAATGGCACAGTATGAACTATGAAGGAGGAAACTATACCTCTAATAATACTATCCATTGCTTTATTGCCCAAACCCTCCCCACAGGTGGCCACATAATCAGATCATCCACATTTGCTGCTGCTTCTTCAGCAGAAAGAAATTGATACGCCTTTGAGTTATCAGGAGGCTTCAGGTAGTCCCACCCCATCAGAACACACAAAGCCTTGTGTAAGCCCAAGTGATCCACACGCAAGTCAGCACTATCAGAGTTGTAACTGTGCATGATGAGACTATGCATATCCGGAAAATCTTTAGAAGACCTGAAATTATGCATATCAAGGGAATTGAACATGTATTTCAGGTTTACCTCTCAGATAGCATTATGACCCATTAAGTTCGAACTCAAAAGGGCAATGAAGAAGATGCATTTACCAGGAGTATACTAATGAGCTGATATCATTCTATCATCTTAAGCAAGGATTCAGGTTCATAGTTTCATCAAATGAGATCCACCTAGGTGTTATAACCTAATGTAAGACCCTGACACAAGGTAAATTATTTATAACAGAAAAAGGATAGCTCCGTACGCTTGGGGCATACACAAATAAATGCGCAAGCACAAGCCTCAGATTCATAGATAACGCAATGATTGCACGAGGAACCCTAGCACCATCCATAAGAAAATATCATGTATTGGAGTAATTACTGCACATAAGAAGCCAACAAATGCATCTAACTGTAACTCATGCAAACTAAATTCTCTTACACAGCAGCAAAAGAAGGTTAGTTTTACCACAATGGTGCATAATTTCCACAACTAACGCAGAAATTTACAGGGGAAAACAAGTAAACAGTAAACTCAGCACCATAGGAGGGCTTATGTTTCATGCTCTCCTAGTCAAACATCAAAACACCAATCCTGAAGTCTCTCATATAATCCTTAGTTAAGCAAAGTTGGCTTCTAAACCTTTGCTGCAACACTTTTTAAAGTTACCACTAATTACAATCACACAAACTAGGTCAGCTGAACCACACATACCTGCATAGCTTAATGACTTTTCCGAGTCTTTGCATAAATATTATTTCAACAAACAATAATTTGTCCCTTTGACTCATACATGGAGAAATTCCTAGTTTTCTAATGAACCATGTCGAATGATTCATGCAAATGTGATGGCAAGTGGTCTAGGTTTTGAAAATTATAAAGGAACAAAGAAGACAAAGGTAGTACTATTACTTCCAATCGTGATGAAAGGCAATTCGGAAGAGGTTCTTGTAAACTTAGTTCATACAGAAACATGACACTGCAAATAATTCAAACCACGAGAACGCAAAGCCAACAGAGTCCCAACTTATTGGAGGGGAACAAAAAGCATGGAAAGAAAAATGTAGCCACAAAGATGTCACCCATCAAAGTCCTGAACAAGTATCTATAAAAAAGGAAAATTAGTATAAAAATCCGAGAAAGACTCTGTAGGAAATTACTTCCATTGTGAGAGTCAGCCTCATATGTTTTTACAATTAAAGTCAACATGCTAATCAGCTTCAATTGTCTGCAGCCTATGAGTGAAAGTTCACAAATTCAAGGCCAACCATTACATATGGAATGGTTCATGACTCACATTCCAGACATAACTCAGAAGACAACAAGGGCATCAACCAGTCAGCAACAAAATATACAAAAGTGTCTGATGTTTTTTGAAGGGAAAAAACGAAAGGAAATATCCACATATGGAGTCCTTACCAATAAAATAAGCTCAAAACACATTTTCTACTAAATCTATGTCTCACACATTTCCATACTCTATATATCTAGCAATGACGGGATAGGATTCAGGAAAACAGAAAATGGAAATTATTGTGTACACTGTATAACCAATACCAATCCACTAACCAGAATATGGAACCATATAACATCTACAAAACCACATGGCCCAAACAAGTATTAAAAAAACAGTAAAAATGAGTCTTTACATGCGCTCAGCTACTATCCATCACAATACAAGATCAATGAAGAACAAGTAAAGACAGCCATTTGGAAACAAAAATCTACTGACAGTTTAGAAGTCCTAGAGCAGAGAAAGAAAGAAAATATTAAATATTTTCAATGGATTCATCTTGGAATGGCAAGAATACAAGTTTGTTCACCGACATGCCATGAATACAGGTTGAAATATAAGCTCTTCTAAACCACCGAAATCCTACTAAACAACAAGCACAGGTCATGAGGATCCTTTCTTATGCATATACATATTCTCCATCAAACAAATTGGATTCCAATGGTTTCAAACTACCAAAACACAAAAACAAAAAAAAAGATCCAATCGAATTAATTTAGCCTCTAGACCTCAAAAGTTTAGAAACTAAGAGCCAGTGCCCATTTTGCAACAAGTTAGACAGCACTGGTAACAATCTAAAAGAAGCATAGAGACACAACCTACACTTATGGAAACGAAGCAAGGATCAAATTAAATGCTCATATCCAACTTCCATTCAATTGCACTGAATAATCAGGGATATAAGCTGGGATGACCCAAGGCTTACTCAAGTCAAATATATTTCTGATAAGCCAGCAAACCCAATCTGAATCTTAGCCTGGCCAGACCACATTCGATAACACTAGAAAAGCTCATCTCAATCAACTTTAGGCTAAACTAACCAGGTATTTTGTGCTACCATCTAACTCAGAGTCCTAAAACATAAAAATAATGGCCCCAAATATGTACAAAGCTATAGGAATAATCAGCAACCACCTTTCCTATATAAGAATGTAGGAAAATTGACAGACTGAAAGTAATGACGTAAGTAGAAAATAATACAGCCTTTCTTACCCAATAAGTAAAGGACAGATGATACTCCAAACACCTTCAGGGTCTAGATTTCTAAAGGGAAATCTAAGAAAAGCATAATATTCAAAGAAAACAAACATTACATCCTTGGAGATAGCCTAATTTATCAAAACAACTGCAACCATCTGAATCAAAATAAGTTAGCTAGGTAGAGTTCCAATCTAAGAGATGATAGTAGAAATATCGGCTGCATACAGAAAGAACAAACCAAGACATATGAAATGAAAACCTCCCTGAAGTTACACTATAACAGCAGCTACCATATAACAAAGCTGCTGCTTCCACTAAAGCAGTAAACAAGCTTTCAGAAACCTACAATGAACTCTCATTAAAAAAAAAACACAGTGGAAGCCTTATTATTAGAGAAAGGTAAGCGGGAGATTTTCTCTCCAAGGAGATAACCAGTCTTCATTCTCCACCAAAAGTGAAATGTCTTTTTTGATTGTTCCTAAAGCCTAATACATGTGCTGGAAAGCTTAACCAGTAAGGAAATAGAACTTCCTGATCCCATTTAGTCGATAAGATAAAAGTGGGGAGATAACTAAGACTTCCTGAACAAAGTAAAACTTTCATAAATATGTTTAGAGATGGCCCTTTGATTATTGACAAATAAAGCAAGTTAGATTCACATCCATCCAGACCAAGAAATATAAATAAATAAAATTCATATCCACCACGTAACACAAAGCACATGTCCTTGTTCACACATGTCTAGCAAACTGGATGGAAGGCCACCATATCCTAGAGGATCACAGATAAATTACACACGCAAGCAGAGAAATGTGTACCAAGGTCTATTGGAATTAACCAACACAGTTGTCCTGAAATTTCACCAAACAGCTAATGCAAAAAGTAGTGTCAACAACAAGAAGGGCAGCATAATCAATAATCCTACTTGTATTTTACAAAAATAATAAAAAAAACCTCAATACATACATATAACTTATATCTCCACGAAAAAGTCTCACTATAGTTACCTATGTATAACATATTTGACCACACTGTGAGTCAGACTTAGACAATATTAAAATCTATGCTGTAATTTTATTATGCATCCTTATCACTTACAACATCAAAGCTTCCACCCTTACCTTTCTTCCCTCCATACTCCTTCAAAATGTATACATTACAACTTCATCATCAGCCCATGCAATAGACGATTCTAGCAATGCATTGGTAAGCAACAAAAAACAAACAGCTGTTCCAAACTTATAAAATGAGCATAAGCTATATAACGTTTCCAGAGAAATGCCACCGATTTCATCCAATGGCAAAGGGGAAGAATGTAAATGACACAGTTCTCAAAATTCATCCACTTCCACTTATCCTACACTTAAACAGCTAGAACAGCCCGTAGCCTAAGTATGCACCATAAACTGAAGATGCCGAAATCAATGAAACATTATTCTATCAACAACAAACATGTTTTAAAAGCGAATACGCAACTGTTCTAGCTGTTCCTAACGTTATAAAATGAGCGTAGGCTATATAACGTTTCCAGAGAAATGCCACCGATTTCATCCAATGGCAAAGGGGAAGAATTTAAATGACACAGTTCTCAAAATTCATCCACGTCCACCTATCCTACACTTAAACAGCTACAACAGCCCGTAGCCTAAGTATGCACTATAAACCGAAGATGCCGAAATCAATGAAACATTATTCTATCAACAACAAACATGTTTTAAAAGCAGCAACGTAGAGAAAGCAAATAATTTGCACCAGACCTGGCACAAGCAAGACAATGCAGACGCCCATTCTTCCCATCCTCCAAGTAAATCTTCCTCTGTTGCGTATTCTCATGAATCAGCTTCACGTAATTAAGAAACGCCTTCTTCAACGCACTCTGATCAACTTGAACATGCTTATGAACCACATTCTCACCACCACCACCTTGCCTAAATCCCGCACTCTCATAACCCCCACCACCAATCCTCATGTACTTGTTAGCTCTCGCCTCCTCGCCACCACGGCCTTGGTCCCCCGCCTCCCGCCGAAACGGGCTACTCGTTCCCGCCAAAAACTCTCCCCGGGTACCAGGACCCACCGGAAACCCATTTGGATTGGCATGCTGCATAAACTGCGGCCGGCGCATCCCAAATTCCCCTGCTTTATCCCTCTGGTCCTCTTCTTCGGGGTACTTTCTCTTTGCGGGCCCCTCTGCGGGGCCACGCCCATCGAGCCCGAGCGAGTTCCAGTAATCCGGACCAGGCCCGGGCGGTCCACCCGGCCCAAACGGCAAAAACCGGCCGGACGGGTCCATGGGCGGAGGGAATTCTTGATAATCGGGCGGGAGAGCGAAGTAGGACCGAACGCTGCCGTCGGCGAGAACGAAAGTTCGGCGCTCGAGCATGTGGAAGCCGTAGACTGGGGGAGGGGGTGGGCCGAAAGCGGCCGGGTCGGGGAAGGGAAACGGAGCGGGTCCGGGAGAGGGGGCTGATGGCGGGTGCTTGGGATGGGACGGCGTTGAGGTTGCGCCTGGTTTGGGGGATGGGCCGGAGTTGGGCTTCACGGGTTTGGGGTCGGGTGGATTGTTTTTGGTGGTGATGGCTGTGGCGGTGGCAGGGGCGGTGGGGGGAGACTCCCAGCGGTGTTCGGTTAGAGGCGGAGGAGGAAGAAGATGGCTTGTGGAGTGGGCCCTTGGGATGAGAACCCCCGGCCATCCTGGGGCTAGGGATTTTGGAACAAAAAAATATTTAATAAAAATGGAGAGCTACAGAGAGTGCTCAGTCTGAAAGTGGGAGAAAGAGAGATGAGGAAGATGCTGCTGGGAGTTCGGGAAAGTGGGAAAAACTAGGGGTAGCTGGTTATGTTTTAGAGGACTCAACTCAAAGCTGGACTCTACTGGATTCCCCGTTCTGTTTTTCTTTTTGGTTCCGAGATTCGAGGAAGTGTGGAAAGGCAGAAAAACTTAGGGGTGGTTGCGGTTCGGTAACCGCGAATTTTTACTCAAACCGCAAACCGACCGACTATTTGCGGTTTGGTGATTTTTGAAACCGCAAACCGACCGCGTTTTGCGGTTTAAAACCGCGAGTTCTCAAGCATTCACAAAAATATAAATTCACAACCTAAATAAATAAATACACAACCTCAATTTCTCAAACATATATAAATTCACAATCTCATCAACTTCTCAAGCATTCACAACCTAAGAAAATTAAAGTTACAATTCCAAGCATTCCAATTAAAGTTAAACTTCTCAAGCATTCCAATTCCAAATCCTTTAAAGTTATAAACCAAAAGGAAAATGCAAAGCAAAATGAATTAAAGTTACAACAAAAAAGAAAAATTCAATTCAAAGTTAATTAAAGTTACAAACTAAAAGGAAAATGCAATGCACCAATGTTACAAACTAAAGTTACAAACTCAAGTGTTGGTGGTGAGTGGATTTGAAGAACTCCGTTGTGTTGTTTGAGTACCAATGTTATTTACAAATAAAACAATATAGTTTAGTACATTTTATTATAAGAAGAAGCATAAATAACATTAGTATAAATAAACTAATTACTTACAAGTTGTCATATGTTCCATTTCCTTGTAAAATTCAACTTCATCATCCGTGTGGCTATACTTTGCGGTTTGCGGTAACCGCAAGTTTTGAAAATCAAATACCGCAACCGCAACCGCAAATGCGGTTCGGTTCTTAATACCGCAAATGCGGTTCGGTTTACCGCGATTGCGGTTTCATTACGGTAAATTATCGGTTGGTTTTTGCGGTTTTTCGGTTTTTCGGTTTAAAATGCCACCCCTAGAAAAACTTGTGTGAAACGACCCTGTTTTGCTATTCCTAATTAATCGTGTTGTTATTGGTCAAATAAATAAATTATGTTTCTCGTGAAATAAATAATACACTGTTTTGTTATTCGGTTAATCACGACATGCTATGTATAATAATTGTAGCATGTCTAATAATTGTTTATACATGACAGTCTATAAAACAGTACACAAGTTTACGTTCTTTTCATTGTTTCACGAAATATGCACGCCCCCAAAATGCAGAAGTGTCAAACGCTTGATTGTTTGCCAACTCCGTATTCACTAATCAAAACTCAAGTTTTGCATGCAATTTCATCTTGTCGTGGTTTCCAATTCACACCTCTTTCAATATTTGAGGCAAGCTTGAGGTAACACCTCTTTTAATATTTGAGACAAGCTTGAAGTAACACCTCTTTCAATATCTGAGAAACGCTTGAAGTAACACGTGATTGAGTTGTACCACAGAACTATACTACTATACAACTGGGTCTGAAGCCGAGTTGGCATTCAGGCTCAAGTTACCGTGAGTATATTCGAAACATAATAGACAACCAGTTTTTACGACACTAAACCAAATATATGCATTGGTTTTGCTATGATTTAACAAACCACTCTGCACTAATCTATTTCGATGCCAGCTAAACCAAATACGTGCATGATTTTTATATGATTTACAAACCACTCGACTGCACCGATCAGATAAAGGTAACGGCTCATTTATCAACAATCTCAAAATCATAAAAAGGATAATTGAGAATTTTAACTAATATAGGGGATCAAATTCCATTGCATAACATACTATCCTCAAACACAAAAGACCAAGCAGTCCAAAGGAACAAATAAAAGACAGCTAGACATACTGCATGAATCCATCAAAACTGAAGTAGATTGAGGTTGCTAAACTAGAGGGTATTTGAAAATGTAAAACAAAATGCGCAAACATGATATCCAAACAACATCCAAGAAAGACGATAAAAATTCTTCAACGCTTCTTGGAGACACCAACAGTCTTCCCCCTGCGGCCAGTGGTCTTGGTGTGCTGTCCACGCACACGAAGACCCCAGTAGTGTCGAAGACCACGGTGATTCCTGATCATTGAGAAAGAAATATCAGTCACAACTCCAAGCCCAATAGTCTTAAACAATATAGATGTTCATCTGAGTAGATAATATGTAGGCCAGTAGACATCAAAAACTGTCAAGTAAAACCACTTAGATAAACTGCCCAAATTTAACTAAAATGACAAACATCATCATGTCTGGCCTATCCTTCACCTACTAATATATCAGATGAATAGACAAATTACTGACCCCAGATAATTATAATACTTGTATTTCCAATATGTTTCTTGCTAGGAAAGAGTATGCAAGGGACAAAAAAAAAATTACTTGGCTACTTCCCAGATACTAGGATTTAACTTGAAGCTGTTAGCTGTGAATGATCTAGGACAATCTTATCTAGAACAATTGCCAATCACTGACAATATTGCTAACCAATTACATAGTATATTAAACTCAGAAAGAGAAGCGTTATGCAAGCTTTAGATTAAGATTCAGCATAAACATATTAGAATAAGAAAGTAAGCCAACAGTACACAAAAAAGAGTCAGTGGACAGAAGCATAACAAGAAGAGAACAGATGACAACACCAACAACAATAAATCAGAAACTCATCAAAAGAAAAGAAAACCAATACTGAAACACAAGCAAAACAACTAGAAAACAGACCTGATCTTCTTCAAGCGCTCAAGGTCATCCCTGAGCTTCATGTCCAGAGCATTGGAGACGACCTGAGAATATTTACCATCCTTGTAGTCCTTCTTTCTGTTCAGAAACCAGTCAGGGATCTTGAACTGGCGTGGGTTGGCCACGATGGTCATCAGGTTGTCGAGCTCAGCGGCAGATAGCTCACCAGCCCTGCAGTGTGGCTCAATTAGACCCATGTACACTAAATAGTGATCTCGTGTGCACCCAAAACTGAACTCGCTTGCCAATTTATAACCCAGTATCATATGGTAATACGAAGATGAAAAATAACATAGGGTCCCTATTCTCTATCCCACATCACTACCACTGGAGTAAAATGTTTATAATTCAAATATTGATGTGCCAACACAATCAGCTCAAATATTACAATTGCAAATAAAAATTCCAATAGATTCAAAAGAAATGGAAATACATAACGCATTCCAACATCAAAACGATGCAAAAAAGTTGTCAAAGTAACAAGATTTAATAATTGTTATTTACATAAATGAATAAAATCTAACTAAATGGCTACATATAATAACGAAATAGAGCTGGGAAATGATAAATCACATTGGGCTAAATAGATCTATGACTTTATTTAGGGAAATAAACAAAAATAAAGAAGAAGAAAAACGAACCTTTTGTTCATGTCTACGTCGGCCTTCTTGCAGACGATGTTGGCGAAACGCCTCCCAATACCCTTGATGGAGGTGAGAGCGAACATGATCTTCTGCTTTCCATCGACGTTGGTGTTCAGCACACGCAGAATATGCTGAAACTCCTCATTTGCGACGAGAGACTGCAACAGAAGAAAATCAAAGTAAGATTTAAGATTAAAGGTTGAAGATGAAGATACTGATCGAAACCAGTCGTTTGGAAGGAATTAGCTCACCATGGTTGCGGCGTTAGGGTTTGCGCTCTCTCTCTCTGACTCTGCGTGTGTGTGTGCGAGCGCGCCGGGTGAGAGAGGACAAATGAAAGAAAAAGATGGTTTTAAAGGATTATATCTGGGGGAAGTTCGCAAAGCCCAAAACCCTAGATGGGTATTATGGGCTGCGGCACATCCTTACGTGCACTCCTTATTGATGAATTTGTAGCCGTCCATCATTTATTCGACTATCCTCATAAGATGTGGGTCCCAAAACAGTATAAATTTTAGAATTTTAATTCTCATGTATAAAAATATATATATTAAGAAAATTTTAGTAAATAAGAGAAAAACTTGAAGAATAAAACAGTGATTTTTATCACGGAAAACGTTATTAATAGATAGTAACAAAACAGTGATATCACCGTGCCATGGAAGTTCTTCTCTGCAAATGGAGTGCGAAAAGTCGTTTCTTCTTTTCATAATGACCGTTGTATCCTTCATTTTAATCAAAATCTCAATATGTGTCCCCGTGGATAAAGCCCATAACTCGAAAATGACCAGAAACAATTTAGAAGCTAGAAGCCGAGGCAGAGACTATACAAAAAGATTTTCTCCAAGCGACCATCCAGCCATTGGAATTGTTTTCAAGTACCAAGTACTTTCTTCTTTTGCCTACACCTCTTCAATTCTGAACAGCAAATATATTTAATTGACTTATGTTATTCGGAAATTTAGTTGCTTTCTTGAGTATAATGCTTTTTCTGTGTGATGAAGCTGAAACTCTGAGCAAATGGGGCAGTAGGGTAGCAGAATTCAAGAGATTGCAGCTGTTTTGATTTCTAGAATGCAATGGATATAGCTAGTCAAGTTGCTTGAGATTAATTGAAGAAGAATGGCTGTTCATGTTCTTCTTGCAGCAAAGACCTTTCCCCTTGTAATTTCCAGGACAAGGGAGAATACCTTGAAACCTGCCAAAGAGTGTAAGTATTGAAAAATCCTAATAGGTTTTCTTTTCGGGGCCTGAAGTTTCATATATGTGCTTTTTCTGTATCAACTGTAGTTAGCCTGAATTTTATCTCTTTCTCTTTTTCTTTTGAGGAACAAACCTGAATTTCTATTTCTATTTCTATTTCTAGAGGATATGGCAGAAACAGAATGTGCATTGTGATTTATCCTAGATTGGAAGTTTTCGTAGTGAAAGTTGTGTTGTGTTGAACGCTATATCATCTTTATTCAGTCTACATGTATTCTTCTCACAGATTGGTTACCCAAAAATCTAACCATCTAACCATCTATACGATTAACATCTAAGCAAATGTTTAGTGTTGATATATGACTGCATAATGGTTCTCACCTGATGGAGATGTCACTCACTACACAAATTTTCTCTTTTGGCTGTTATTTTGCAACATAACAGATAAAGCACAATCCAGGTGTGAGCTGCCCTCTCAAGAAGCTTCATCAAGTCGCCGCCATTTTGTAGCTGGTGCCACGATTGTTACGATTCTGACCATTAACTATGGCTTAGCACCATCACCGGTTTGGGCTGATGATAAGTCGGATGATGAAGAGGAAAAGGATGGAGTTATAGGTGCTCTTAAATCACTGTTTGACCCTAATGAGAAAACAAAGTCTGGAAAAGTGTTGCCGAAGGCTTACTTGAAGTCAGCAAAGGAGGTCGTGAAGACATTGCGCGAATCGCTGAATGAAGATCCCAAGGATAATGCCAAATTCAGGCGTACTGCAGATGCAGCAAAGGAGTCGATTCGAGAGTATTTGGGCAATTGGAGAGGACAACAAGAGGTGGCTCAAGAGGTATAGCTAATTAACTTGTATGTTCAAGGACATGGAACTGTTGAATTAGTTCACTGTTTGCTAAGAAATCTAGTCTTTGGTTAATGACTTGCAGGAGTCTTATGTTGAGATTGAGAAAGCGATAAGATCGTTGGCCGGCTTTTATTCCAAGGCAGGGCCATCTGCCCCACTGCCTGAAGCAGTTAAGTCTGAGATATTGAATGATTTGAATACAGCTGAAGAGTTTTTGTGAGGCATCAGATTTTTTGGGGCAGCACGCGTATCTCTTACACCGAGTTTAATCAGTTGATTTGTGGAGAGAACTTCGAGAGCTTCAGTTTGATGCCTCCATCATTTCTCGACACTACGAACAAATTTGTTGTGTAAAGCTCTTTTGCTATTAATATGTATCTCATTTGGCGAATTTCTTATGAGCAGCCATATGTTGTAATTTTATTCCGAGGAACAAATCTTAGCAAAAATGGAGCAGAGACATTAAATGCATTTCTTTCGGACGAGAAAGAGAACCATTTGTTTGCCACATCAAAACCACTAAATACTCAAGAACCTAAGTGCCCATTATTTTTACACCAATCAGGAATAACTTATTGCCACTGTAATTATACATATACAACACCTTTGTTTGCATAGCTGTATAAATACCAGCCATGCGACAACTCACGTCTGCGTTTTCGACTTGACATCTATCACTGGAGATCTGATAACTAGCCTTGTCTTTAACATGGTGGAGCTTTAACTTGCTTTTATCTTAGAACATAAAGAGAAATCACCAAACTGGATCTCCTTGATGCGGATCTATGGAGCATCAAGAACGTGACAGGACACCTTTTGAACTGCACATAATAGATTCCACAAAGTTAAGATCAAGTTTCATATGTCAAAGAGTAAATAACACATTGAGTAACATGGTTGATTCACCAAAGATCAATAAAAGATTAATTATCCAGTCAGAGCTGTTCAAATGAAATTGGTTCATATCAAACCTTGGCACAGTCCCAAGGCGACGTGGGTCATGTTCTGTGGCTTGTCGGAGAGCCCTAGCAAATGCCTTGAAAGTTGCCTCAATAATATGGTGAGAATTTCTTCCAGCAAGCTGTGCCCAACCAAAAGTAGAAAATTCTGTCACAAACTAAAACTGGAGCAATGTGAAAACCATTATAGCCCTGCTAGTCGATGAATCAAAAGAAAAAAGTAATTGGTGTAGTTACTGACATATGCAGAAGATTATGCACCTGAAATGGTTGAATAACAAGTCCATTTCATATTGCACAAAGGAATGTTCAAAGGTACAGATAATTGATTCATGCACAAAGAGAGATGGCAATTTATTCATCAAAGTTCACTTTTAGTCTCTGTCTGGACAAACAAATATTTGGATGAATTAAGATTTTCAAAAAGCCATGCACACTACCTGCCGGATGTGGAGTGTCATACCAGAAGTATTCACCAAAGACTGGAAAAAATGTTCCACCAGCTACGAAAAGGACAGTTCAAACAAAAATTAGTAACTCTAAACACCTAAAAATTTCCATAAGCAAATAGAAAGAAAGGATCCCACCATAAAAGACTGGTCA